CCAGTTTGGTGAAACAAAGTTGTGGAGGCCAAGAGCATACAGGCCAATCTCAAAGGCAAAAGGTGCAGGTTTCTGTGGGGCCCCTGGTGGCCCCCGCTGGCTGACGGGATTACTCACAAAATATTATTGTGATAAACACAATTCATTTTTTTGAATTGACACCATTAATTATTTTATTTTTTAATTCAAAGCCTCTATTGAGGCATTCTCAATTTAAGTGTGAATGTCAGAATTTTGAAGGCAGAAATTAAATCTTCAAAATGATTCATCAGATTACATGAGTTTGTTGTTTTCTATTACATCAACATTCTAGACTGCATATTTTTAAGTGAGATGCTGAAACAGAATATTTGGTTAGGATAAAAACATTTAGTGTATTATTTTTTCAATGTTTGCTGATGCGTGTACCTGCAGGTAGGCCTGTTGGCAGCGCTGCACCAGCTGGTGGAAGGCGGGTGTTCGGAGGTGTGCGTGGATGTGGGCGGGGTTGAGTCTCTGCAGAGCCTCCATGATGATCTCCTGCAGGACGAACGGACTGAGGACTCCTTTTGCTGCTCCCACACAGAACTGGTACACATAGTTGACTCCTGACAGGAAGACAGAAAGACAGAAGACAGACAGCGAAGCATTAAAGTTATACTGTTTTAACAATGAGTGTGTATGGGCGCAGCACTGTGTCCCGTCTACAGTGGTGTGTACAAGGGCATCTGCTTTTTTAAACATTGGTTTATTGTGACAGCTCTTCTTAACTTCATACTGTAGCAGTTTGTAGTTTGTCTGCGAGGCAGACGGAGATGTTCCAGTAGTCTTACTTGTGTGTGCTACCGAGCGGACAACTAACACAAAATATTCCCCATCAACCTGTCCCTCCCTTAGTGTCCAATAATGCAGTGATTTTCAACCACTGTGCAGCAGCATTATTGAGCGTCTGTGCCTGCAGTGTCAGGGCAGTATTCAATAACTCTCCTATGCCAGTGGGTGGCAGTAGGTAGCGCAGTTATTACCTTGTACATTTAAGACAGAAAAGTTAAGGGATGAGGTGACGAACAGTGATGGATAAATATAAAACAAAAGACTGGGTCCTTGACAAAATTCTAGCCGAGATGAAGAGCCTAGTGTGAGTGGTGGCCATAGGAAAGAAAACAAGGTGAGCTCAAGGCAGTACAGTGACAACTATCTTTTGTTTGGATTTACTTTCACCATGTCTCTGACCACACCATCTCCATTGTCCTTGGTGTGGGGAAAAGCTGTCCCACAGTGCCATGGTCCCAAGCAAGCTTAAACATCATCTCAAAAACACTGTCACTTCAGAACCAGAACACTGTTCTAAACAAACTGAGAAACAGGTAACTGTTATGAGAAAAACAGTCATCATATCGGTAATCATAACTTTGCCATGCCAAGGACCCCCATATAGCATTATCCTCTGGCGGGGACCCCCCTGTTGCAATTCTTTTTTTAAATGATGAGTACATTATGATGGTAAATATGACAAATTAATCATACAGCTTGATACATTTTCTTAATATATATTTGTATTAATGTATTAATAATCAGTTATTCTTCTAAAAAAATTTTGTATTTATCTTTTGTTTTTCATTCATTACATTCATTGTGTCTTCTGTTATAAACATTCTTAACACAATATTAAACAGTAATATCAACAGTAAACATATTTTTAAAGCATTTTTAAAGTGATTTCTGTCTTTATAATTTTTTTAGCATTTTTGAAAGCTACTTATGCCTTAATAATATTATATATAATATTCAACAGTAATATTAACAATAAACATATTTATATTCATATATATAAACAACAATATTTGCTACATCCATGCTCTCACTTGCTCCAAAAGCTGAGCAGATACTCAGTTTCACTCTCAGTAGCGGCAGCTCGATTCTGATTGGCTTGAAGGGCGGTCGTGTGATTTAAGAACAATAAAATAAAATATTCATACAAATAAAATATTAAAAGATTGGCATCAAAGGACACAGATTGATAGATATGCAGTTATTAATAACATCAAAAAAAAGAAATGTAACTTAAAAAAAATAAAGAAATTCCCCTTTCCCTCAAACTTTGCGTGACCCCCCTGGCAGCCCCCCGGGGGGTCGGGCCCCCACTTTGAAAAACACTGTATTAGGGTACAATGTTTCATTTTCTACGTTTTGTGGTTGTTGGTGTGCCGCGGGACTTTTTTTATGTAACAGGTTGAAAAACAATGCTATAATGCATGTTGTGCAGGCTCACCTAGCCTGGCAGCCAGTCCCAGCAGCCATTTGACGTCCTCAGTGTAAGGCGGGCTCCTGGAGAAGTTGTTGGGGTGGTCATTGTGAGCCCTCCTGCCCAGCATCTCCAGCGCCAGCATGCCTTCACACAAAAGAACAGTGGGGATCACATGTGGGCAGTCAACCTGTTGGACTACTGGCAGTTTGGTTAGATCAACACGAGTCCTCACCAACTCTGTAGGCAGAGTGCAGGTAGTGCAGGCCCTGTTGGCTGATTGGCTGGCTGTGCTGCTCGTCCTCTACTGGGAAAGCAGTGCCCATCATTGATCCGGGCTGGGAGGACAGGGATGTCCCCTGGATGGCCTGGATGGTGGGGCCCGCGTGGACGCTGCCCACTGTGAAACATGACAGGGACCCCAATTGTTACAAATTAACACAGCTCATATATCAAGAGGCTTTACCTCCATGCAGTGAGGTAAACAGAAACCCAGATGGAACACACTGACCTGCTACAGTTGTGAGGGGCAGCCCGCTCTCAGGGTGGTACGGGTGGACAGCGATCTGAGTCATGGACGGTACCGGGACCCCGGGGAAGGTCACAGCCGTGGCTGCCATAGGGGGCTGGGGGCCAGTGGCCACTGAGAACGGGTACTGGGCTCCGATAAAGGCTGGGTGGATTCCCTAAGGGGGTACACAGACATATTTATACTGTATAGGTACATGTGAACACCTGCACTCATACCACTTCCAAGAAAAATCCAAGAAATGTGAGAATTTTAAAAACAGCAACAGACATAAATTGTCTGTTTCAGAATAGAATGCACACAAGCTCTATGGACAGGGGTGCACACAACTTTCTCAGTGAGGTACTCAGATGAGTACCTGGAGTCAGTGTTTGGTACTCCAACTTCTGGCTCCCCTCAAAGTTCCCATGAAGCCCTCTGTATCGCGAATGTCAGCGGGGGAGTGGTAGTGGAGTGCAGAGCTTCGTGACCACAGAGCGTATGAACGTTGTGATCAGCTGTTTTAGCGCAGTGCTGCTGTACAGACCGATGTTAACAGCAGCCCTGTCTGTGCACACGGAAACCGACTCCGTCGTCCGGTGATTTAACCGCCTTCTGGAAAAGCTTCACAAGTACGTCGGTACGCAAGTGACGGTACGCATTTCAGATTGTTGCAGCGCATGCGTACCACTTATGTGCACCCCTGTCTATGGACCATCTTCTATTGTTATGAAATTGTTTGAGTTTTGAATATCAATTCACCTTCCACTCATTTTCTATAAAAGGTCAGAGATCAGTTTGAATCAGAAGGTACAGACCTCTCAGACATTGCACTGACCAATCAATGCACTGACCAATCAGCTAACATAACAACAATAGATGAGGCTTTTTGCTTGAAAATGACTTCATGATGACTGTTAATGATCCGACTGATTTATTGACTTATCATTCAAGATCTAATGCATGTGAGGTAAGAAACTCAGCAGCCATTAGCACATCTCTCTTTCTCCACAATACTTTGTTACTGTAGGCCTACTTAAGTAAATTTTTCTGGTATCAGCACTTTACTCCACTACTTATTTTTCGTTCGTTTGTGTTTGGTGGCGTGATCATTATTATTTAGAGTCATTGCGTGCCTATTGATTTGAACACGATCCGTGTATCCATCATTTCCTGGTCTTCTCTAAAGAAGAGGGACCAATGAAAACGTTGTCATGTTGCCGTTGTTCAGCATGGAAACATTCATTAGCTAACAATTACATTATTGTTCTATTAATATAAAGGGAGGTCAGGTACTCTTTAAAACAGCTGCTAGCTATGGGTACTTTTTACTTAAAGGTCTCCCATTATGCTATTTTTAGGCATATATGATGGGTCTCAGATATATACAAATATGTAAAAACATATCTATGATGTGTTTTGCTTAAAATACCAAACAGATCATGCATTTTAGAAATCCCTCATATCCCTCTGTTTCAGCTGTTAGAGAACTACAGATTTTGGGTCCTTAGTTTGAAGAACAAAAAAAGAGGAGGGGGAGCTAATGCCTGCTCAGAATTACCCGGCAGCTACAGTTAAATGCTCCCGGGATTAAACGCCATCATGTTCCAAACCACATCAAGGATTATTTCTGAAACAGTATGGAGCTCAAATGCTTTCTCTCTCGCGGGTTTACCACAAGGTGAGCTCCTTTCTTTATTTTCTGCTTCTTTACACAAACTCTCTCCAGTACAGGTTAGCTCCGAGTGTTAGCGATGCTAATGTAAACAAAGGCCATATTACGTCCAAAACAGTCCGGCATTGTTTCTGATAGCAACTTTCTGATAGGGCCGTGGGTCCGCACGCAAATCTGGATCAGCTCCGTTGTCAACTTCCCCCGTTTTTAGAGATGTGGGTAATGAGGAAAAGAGAGAGGGTTTTGTTTTCTGACACTTCGTGAGTCTCCTGACGCACCGGGGAAACATATTCATGTATAAAAGACATCAAAAAGTGCATTTTGCATGATAGGTCCCCTTTAAGTACATTTCAAAGCCTCTTTACTTTTACTTAAGTAAAGAAGTTCTACTTTTACCAGAATATTTTTAAACACGAGTATCTGTACTTCTACTTGAGTAAAGGATGAGTGTACTTTTGCCATCTCTGCAGCTAAGTATTGAAGATTTTTGGAATATTTGTTTTATTTTAGAAATTTCTATAGTTTTAAAAGTTAATATAAATTGCCAATGTGGAACTGTACTAAAACAGAAACAAGTAGTTGATTAAAAAAAATTAGCTGATCAGCAAAAAACTAACAAATCAATCAATTGTAAGTATATAAAAAGAAAACAGTGAGCAGATTAATGCTTTAAATATTTTCATTTAACGTGTGAGCTGTTTTGACCTGTGGATATGCAGCACCGGCGATAGGGAAGACGGTGGGCCGGGGGACGTGCTGCAGAGGGTGTCCCAGGTACTGAGGGGTGCAGACGGTGGGGAGATGGGCCTGAATGGTGGTGTAGGGGTGGAGCCCCTGACTGTGGGGGTGAGCCATGGCCTGCCCCGGCATGATGTGGGACTGATAGATGGTGGAGCCCACAGAGATGACGGGGACCACGGCTGCTGCAGTGACGGAGGCGGTGACTGTTGCCACGCCAGGAGACTCTATGCCTGCTCTGGTGTCAATCACCACACAGCTGGACTCCTGGGGCCTCCTGCCCGAGCCCCCGTTGGCCCCGCAGCGCCCTGACGTCTCCCGATGCTGGCCTGAGCCCCCACCCACTGATTGCTCATACAGCCAGTACCACTGGTGGGCCACCTCAAACAGGACCTCAGGGTACACCCCCCCACCCTTGGCTGCTTCCTCCACTGCCATGCAGGCCTTCTCCAGCATCACATTGTCCTGGAGAAAGAAGGGAAGCCATAATAAGAGCCAAGCTAAATACCTTTTTAGACTTCAGGTGATTTAAGGGAAACAAGCATCCATCTATGGAAACACTACCCAGCTGTCAGTTAGAATGTGTTGTTTCATTTTATTACATTTTGAAATTAGAAGATGCACATACTATGTTGCTGGATTAACTCAAGATGATCATCAGACCAACCATCTCCATGTTCTTCACAGAAGTCATTCAATTGTGTTGCTCGACACTTCCTTTGTTGGCTTTTCTAAACTCTATATTATTCTGCTACCGCTATTAAAACTGCAATACCCGGATTCACTTCCTAAAACACCTGGCATCCTGCTACGCTATAAAGGCTCATAAATAAATATATATCTATATATATATGTATAAGCAGAGCCTTAGTGTACCTGCTCTTTGCACTGCACCAGGGCTCTCTGGATCTCATTAGGGTTGAGAGCGTGAGCGTGAGGCAGGCAGCTCAGGGCCAGCTCTGCTGCCGCCCGCACCATGTTGGGGTCCCTGGCCCGCGACGCACGGTCGGCAAGTGATGCTACCTCTGGGGGGGTGAGGTGTCCGTCCCAACACTCCACCAAAATGTTGAGGGCTGCGCTGCCGATCTCCATTGCCTGGCCTGAGAGAAGAGGAGAGGTTACAGTGTGCTGGCAGGGAAGGAAGGAAGGAAGGGAGGTAGAAAGTAAGTAAGGGAGATGGTAAGGTAGGAAGGTAGAAAGTAAGGGAGATAGTAAGGAAGAAAGTAAGGAAGGTAGGAAGTCAGAAAGTAAGGGAGGAAGTAAGGAAGGTAGGAAAGTTGTGAACCGATTCAACTTGTGAATACATGAAATACAATGAAAGTTTGTCTCTTCTTGTCTTCTGTCACACACACCAGTAATCCAGGACACATGGGAGGAGTAGGTTCTGGACAGCCAGTTTGGTGAAACAAAGTTGTGGAGGCCAAGAGCATACAGGCCAATCTCAAAGGCACACAGGTGCAGGTTTCTGTGGGGCCCCTGGTGGCCCCCGCTGGCTGACGGCTGGGTGAAAATGGAGGTGGAGGAATTTCCTCCAGCTTTGATTAGCACTGTCTTGGCCAGCTCAAAATAAAAGTGTGCTGCTGCCTCTGACGGCTGGTTGGGCACGTGGGGGGCGTGACATTCTGGACGCCGCCCTTTGTACCTGAACACAGGGAAATATACACATGTGAATTAGATTAATCTCAGTGGCTCAGAATAAACACACACACATCTAGTGAAAATCTGATTTGTTTTCAGGAAACCTGCCCAACAAAGCAGGCAAAGCCTGTCCTACTCCATCTTAGCTTCATCTCGCCTCTCAACTGCATCTCTACTGTCCTCTCAGTCGTCATGCGGACTGTAGGCTCTCTGTATTGTTTCTTATGTTATCTGTCATTTTTCATATTTTGCTCTTGCTTTGAATGTATGATAAATAACTGGAAATAAACTTTAACAACAAACTGAAAGCATATCGCAGCAGACAACAATATGAACGGTGTTAAAACTATTTTATATCACTTGGCAGATTTCCTACAGTACATGCAAACCGAGGTCATAAGACAGTTCATTGCTCATTATCACTTCGATAATAATGTGTATATTTTATGTATGTGTCCTAAAGGCTTTCATTGTGAACTGATCTCTGCTTGATATCTGAGGTGTGCCTCACACACTGAGGTGTGCTAAAGCTGTGAACATGTCATTTCTCCTTCTGATAGCATTAGCTCTCAATTAGCATTCTGCAACAGATTACTCAGATCATCAGTTTGGTCATTTAGCTGAAGCCAGACTTTAAGCAGTGACCTTCACTTTTATTGTGGTGGATTTAAGCTGCAGCCACACGAGGACGATAACGGTCGTATCCGCTACAGTTCTCTATCAGATAGACGGTTCGGCCACACGAGGCCGACAGGGAAATGCAGATAACAATAACGGGTCCCAAGGTGGGTAGATCTGCGGACGAAACACTCTGGGGTGCCAAACGGCTCCGTGTCTACGCCCTATAATGATAATTTCCTGATGACGCAATATCCCCAGTGTTTCGAGCCAGGTCCCGGTATCTCGCAGGACAGTGCCCCCGGCAGGAGCTTCCAGCTAGATTGGATTGATATGGACACAAACGCGAGTGACGTCTAATCGGACGGGAGAGGAGACACGAAGCTCGGCATGACAACATGCAGCTCCGCCCGCTGTGATGGAGCGATGAGCGGAGCAAAACACACACTTCAAGTTAGATCATCACACTTTAATGACCTCTCAAACTACCCAAACTAGTTATGAATATGTTTATTTTGACTGTCGGGTCACTCATTACTGGATCAGCCAGCTGCATGAGACCACGGATACTGATGGGCTGTCAGGAGAGGGGGAGGAAAAGAGAGGCTCCGTCCTCCGTGTATTATTCTTATATTATTATATAGAGTCATTATTCATTTGTTTTAAAGCTCAATAAATAACAAAGAAGACCTTTGACCGGCACTTTTCTCATTTTGTCCGGAAGATTTAAACTTTAACGGACATG